AGTGAATGAATTTTTGCTTACCATTGTCTGTTCTTCGCACCAGGACCCACACGCGCGCAGTGAAACACACTATTAAGCTCGTAGGGACGCCCCACCCTTCTTCATTTTTCTGGTTTAATCCACGTCCAGCCCCCTTTTTAACGTTTTTTCGAAGCCTTTTTTCACTTTGGAAACACCGATGCACGCAGTTTCTTCTCCTCAGTCGCACTAGTTTCGATCTTGTCTTCCATTTTTCATCATAAATTATGTGAACGGTGCCTTTAAAGGTGCTTCCAATTGTTAGGGTGAGTCAGTCGCGCTCATCTACTCTATCGACCGGTTACTATCTCTAGCTAGTCGGTATAGTCGGGTAACGCGATGATACTGCTTAACTGATCACCTGTCGTCCCGTTGATCATCCACTCCTTCGAGCGAGCGCCAGAAATGTTTCCATCCGTCCCCATCAGAGCCAGAGTGGACTAATGAATCGTCTTCGTTTCAGGGACACGAGTTCTAACATTCGTTTCGTTCAGAGCTTCCGTGAAGAAGTCAGACAATCTCGTTCATGGCCGACCTGAAGTTCGTTTGATGTCCCGAGGAATCCAGTCACTAACCGTCCTGATCCGACGGTCATCACTATCATCCCTAATCTTCGATCGATGACGAAGCTCGGACGTACGGATTCCCTTCTGCAATTGCGTGCTTAGGGGAATTCCGTGCATCGTCTTTCCCAAAGCGCGTTGAGTAACGATGACAGCAAGCTCTTCCTGCTTTCGTAGAGTCCAAGTCTCGTGGCGTACGTCAAAGCAGAAAGGACAGCAGTGTCGAAAAGGTGAGCGCGAACCGGATGTTCTCTTTCGTCTTCATTGCTCCCTCAATATTCCCAAATGCTCCCCTCGCAGCGCGTCTCCTTCTGCACAGTTCCGGAGCTAGGTCGTTCATCATGTTGAGTTACCATTCTAGGCACACATAGCTGGAGCATTCAGAAATATTCGTTCCGTTTAGCATGAAAAGAGCATCAGGTACCAATGTGTTTCGCACAAACATTGTCTTCGTTGAAATCAGTCGTAATCCACTCTTTCCACGAGCGTTGTCAAATTGGGACAACATTCGTTCCGTCTGCTCGATATTGGGTGTTATAAGCACGATGTCATCTGCAAAGCTGAAATGATGTAAGTAGCGGCCGTCGGTCTTCACTCCCATACTATCTCATTACATATGACGCATGACGTTGTCGAGGGCTGCACTGAGAAGTTTAGGCGAAATGGTATTGCCTTGTCGAACTCCTCTCTTCACGTTGATGATGACTTCTGAGCCGGGAGTTCTTTGTCTTCTCCATTTTACCCCCTCAATATTCCTAAATGCTCCCCACGCGCAGCGTCTATTTCTGCACAGCTCCGAGGCTAGGTTGATCATCATGTTGACTTCCCAACCTAGGCACACGTAGCTCACGCATTCGGAGATATTCGTTCGTTTAGCGTGAGGGGAATATGAGGTGTCAATCCGTTTTCATGAAGATCGTCTTCATTCAGTTTAGTCTCAAGCCGATCTCTCCACAAGCACTACCAAACTCAACCAGCATTCGTTCCGCCTGCTCGATGTTGGGTGTTATAAGCACGATGTCGTCTGCAAAGTGGAGGTGATGTAGGAAGCGGCCGTCGACCTTCACTCCTAAGTCTTCCCATTCTAAGTGACGCATGATATTTCCGAGAGCGGCAATGAAAAGTTCGAGCGAAATGGTGTCGCTCTGCCGAACACCTCTCTTCACGTTGATAATGAGTTCCTTGCAGAATGGCGAAATCTTTGTCGTGAATTTGTCGTAGAGCTCACGAAGTATCCATATATATTGAGGAGGAACACTCTGACTGCCTAAAGCTTTAATTACCGCTTCTGTCTCAATGGTTTCAAAGGCTTTCTTCAAATCGTCAAACGTTAGAATAACGGCATTTTGTACTCTAGTGATACTTCAATGAGTCTTGCAATAGTCTCTTAATCTTGGCATGACTTGTGACTGATATACAAGTTTACTGCAGCCTTTTCAAGATTACAAACTTTATGAGGCTAACGTTTCGGCTAGCTCGCCTTCGTCAGAGCCTGAAAGTCGAACAACCATTGGAATAGATTCTATAATAAGGCAAGATAAACCCAGACAGTACTCTAGACTAGGAGACCTCCTGGACTCGGTATACAAGAGGCTTACCTTGATCTAAATCGCCGGAGCGTTAGATCGACCAACCAGAATGTAACGTCCGCGTGCAATGAGCAAGCCTACCTCCTTCCTGACCTCACTGTAATTTCAAAATTTGCAGGGGTCGAGAAAGGACGCGAGGTCACGGGTTACGGCTACACACTCTTCCTTCCTATTAATTTGTGGGTCCTTAGCTGCAATCCAACACGCCTCAAGTGCTTTCCGCGCAGTGGTCTCCGTTTCTAGTGCCAAGATGGCTACTGAAATTGTGAATTCGTTCCCATCATGGCACAAAATTCGATGCATCCCCAGTGGTGTTTAAGTGCGATCCTTTCACAGCCCCTCCAAATGTTCTTAAATTCGTGTACGAAGGGGACGCCCCATTTCCCCAATATACTCAGCTCCACAGGCCAGGCACCGAATTTCGTAGATAACCCCTGCTCTCATGCAATCACCCCGCCGATTGGAAGGACACACAAGGCAATCTGGTGTGTCACCCGAGATGTCGTGTAGGTGATTGCGGACCAGTTGTCGACAGAGGTTTCCTGGGGGTATTTCCACAACCATGACTTCTTCCTGTAGATCACACTTAGTCAAATTTGATCGAATTGCTCTGCTCATTTCTTCGGAAATGAATGGCAGGCAAAATGCTACCTTATTGACTGGTGCTCGTTCACGAATTCTACGAGGTGGAAAATGCCCCCCACGTTGTGTGGATATGATCGATTGTGCTGAACCCTATCCGAAACCCTGCTTGCTCGCATGGCTGTCCTTCATCTAATAATCTGCCAATCCTATTCAGGATGAAGCGAGTGAAAAGCTTGTAGATTACAGACAGCAGATAAGCTGGGCAAGAGTTGCCAGTATCGTTCGGATCTTTCTTTTAATACAGCAGCCGGTCTTGCTAGTTTTCCACGACGTGGGCACTTTGCATTCCGACAGGTTCTGCGTGAGGAACCTAACCAGAGTCGGAGCTCTAACAATAACTGGTGATAGACTCTTCAGATGTTCTGCTTTGATCCTATCGGGAACTGACGCGCTTCAATTCTTTATCGACGTCATTTCATCAAATTTCGGAAGGGAGAGCCGAAGGAGAGTTATGTTCGTCTCGCCTAAGATGGTGGATAAGCAGGTAGACGTGGCTGTCGAAAAAATCCGAGTAGAAGCCGTAGATGACCTTCTCCATTGCCCTCGAGATGCAGCAACGGTTCTATCAGAACGACGAAGGGAGGTCATCTTGGTCCTGTAATTAGCGAAGCTCCGTCGGGCTTTGCGAATGCTCTTTCCGGCTTGAACGGCTCCGTCAGTAACTACTGCTTTTCTCTCCTTTAGATCTTCCACTGCATAGCTTCGCAATTTCGGACGTTTGGTGATGCGCGCGATTCCACACTGGCGTATCAGCTCGAAACTCTTCGAAGGGAGTCGTCTCTTGGCTACTTGTAGACTCTCTACTTTCCTAGCACTATCGTGAAAATGTTCGACGGGTCGGTTGTATTCTTCATCGATGTTGTCGATAGCGGAATCTTCCCATCAATTCCCAAGGGAGGCGAAGCGGTCCAGTTGATGGAGGCCCTGGGGCCTCGTTTCCGAAACTTCGTAGCTCTCTCTCTACCCACTGAGAAGCAGAATCTAGCGTGGAGGACGCGATGGTCCGATCCCTACTTAACCTCGGAACAACAGCGACGTCAGTCAGGCAAGAAGATGATATAGTCAATTTTTTTATGGAACTGTCCACCGGGTAACTCTCATGTCAATCGCAAATGAGAGGGGTTTCAGAACTGCGAGTTATCATGGATAGTGTGAGTCGACATGATAATTCGAGGAGGGTATGGTCTCCTCTGAAGTACCTCTCCATATCCATACAAAACTCTTCCAACTCCTCTTCTTGATGTTGGTGCGTAGGCAACGACGATGGTCAGAGCTGGGATTAACCCATATTTTCTTAATAGCGTACGTATGATTTGGGTTGTTAGGTTTTCTTACGAATCGATGTTCATGGTCAAGTGCGTATTTACAAGGGCATCTACGCCGCCGACGCCTCTGCTATCGCAAGAAACAGTTCTTCTCCAGTCTCAAATACAGCGTGCAGCGGGCGACGCCTTTTCGTCTCGGTCAGTCCGATGACGTCGTACTTGATCTTTCTAGCTTGCAACATCAGGCCTTCTATACAACTTTCCGAGGAAGCGTTCGAGCGTTGAAAGTACAGATTGCCATCACAGTCCTTCTCCGTTCAGGCAGCCTGTTTTGGCCCTGAGATTTTAGCAGCCTCTGCCGAGCGGTCCTACCCAAGGCCGCCATATTGGGGGCTCTCTCAGGTACAGGGGATTGAGGCCCATTTCTATTACTGTTTTTGGCGTGAAGATACCCAACGTGCAGCTTGCCAGGCTCTGACGTGGGGGCTATTGTCTCCGGGAGCTTGCCAGGCTATCCCGAAGTGGACAAGGGGCTTTGTTTTTGAAGGCGGCCTCGAATTGCTTCCCAGATACTTATCAGTCACTTGAATGCAAACTTTTGGCTGAGTCGGTGAGCAGGATACCAACTGCGAGAAACAGAAGGTACATATATCAACCAGCACAGCAGAATCAGGGAGTCCATCCCCTGAATGCACCTGCGTCTCTGGGGAAGAACTGGCGACTTTTGGTCGGCGATTAACTCTCTTATCCGCCACCTGGGGACGCCCTGCGTAGCCTCACCGCTAACCGGCTGGGATCCTTCAGTGAGAGAGAACCCTCAGTGAAAGGAGATCCGTAGCCCCTTATACCACTTATACAGGGTGTCCCAAAATTACTTGCGCCAAAGTTCATTAATTTTTAAGGTGGAAATAATCTATCAAATTCACATTACCTGTTATTAATTAGTTGCATAAGA